CTTTATATTTTATCTGTTATTTTCAGTAATTAATCTCTGTATGAGTACAGTAGATTTGAACGATCTCAACCACCATAAAAAATTAAGAAATAAACATAAATTATGCCTCTTTCATTCTAGAATGAACAATGAAAACATAAATGCTTAGATGAAACAGCTTAAATCTCATAAAATTAAACATTTGTATATATTTATCATATTTATTATATTGACCCCATGCCTGGCTAACAATACAGAAATTACAATGACACGGCTCATGTGCATTCATGTTACCACATAAAATAACATAAAAACTGACCTTTGGTCTGTACAAAGTAACTTGTCTTGGCTGTGTTTTAGTCAACTAGTATTTTGTAAAATACAGTCACATTTCAATTATCATACATTCTATATGTATATAGATTATTGCTATTTTGAAATAAGTTCTTAAACATATTTTTCCTAAAACAAAGAACAGCAAATAAAGAAGTAATGCAAATAATTATCTCTTCTAGTTATAACCTTTGTACTTGGTTGCTGCTTGACGTAGGTTGCTAAGCCTTCAAAAACTTTGCACTTCAAGGATATGAAACAAAATATTTTTTTCGGGTTTTATATATACATTTGAATAACTAAAAATTCATAAATTACTACATCAATACCATAGAATTCAACTATAATTTATCGAGCTTAATAACTAAGATGTATTTTACTCTTAAAAAATATGAAATTTCGAGCAGACAAAAGACACAACCTACCTCATTGAAATCTTGGTTCAAAAGAAAGAAATGGCACTAGCCATGTTAGAAAGGATAAGAAAGCCATTAGGGGACATTCAGAGCTTCCAATTGGCTATTCATATCATATATAGAATTGTATATAAGGGAGCATTTGATTTATTACATGAGTAATATCTTAGCAAATAGAAACGATAAGACTTTCTTATTTTATATTCTAGCTTGTCAATATCTGTAGTTTGTGTTTCTAATTTGTACAAAACTATAGACTTAGTATTTTGACTTCACAAACATCTAATATGAACCAGTGCTGCATTCAACATACCACGTGACACACAAAAAATCAATGTTTTCTGTTTTCTTAATATTTACCTTTAAATTAAGAAATTGAGTGATGTATAGTTCTAAAATTTGATAAACTTATTGACATAAATTCATGAAATAGTAGTTCATTAAAATTTTGAATATGAGTCAACAAACGAGACGACATGGCCTTTCACTTATGACCTGTCTCAAAAGGGATAATAGAAGATCTATTTAATGAACATATTGCCATGCAGAATGAAGAGTTTAATAGTTCTGATATTAAACTGTTTCAAGATAGTTTTGGGAACTTTGATGTAGATGAGTATATGAATATCTTGTATTAAAATTATTTTGTTTGTTTGTAATAAACAGACTGAGTGAACTTCTTTATTCTGAACATAAACCTCCTCAAGTTAATGACTTGTGTGTTTAAACCATGACTGCACAACCTGGCATTAAACAAATTTATTTGTAAATGGTGCACAGTCAAACCGAAACAGCTATGCCCATGTCGGCCCATTACAGGTTATCCATTTTATTATTTCGTCATGACATCATACTGGAATATATAAATGTGTACATACATTCTTAGCATCTTTAAGTTCCTAACTGCATCCATAAAAGAGGAGAAAAGCTAAAAATTATAAATTTTAATTCTGTATTTACCTAAGAGTGTTGCATATCATAATTGTAAATTTTATTTTATTTTACTGGTAATTTATACCAAACTGCTAAGCAATACAAAGTCTTGCTGTTCAAAGTTTCATTAGAATTATATCTTTACCATCAAGTATGCTTGCAGCAGAAGGTGCTACTTCTTCCATCATTATCTGCCGATGGGTTCCTGATGATGTACACGATGTATCTCTAACCATATGACCATTATGGATGCTCTCTGCCCCTTCTGAAAGCGAGTGAGATCCATTTGGCTGATAATAAAAAACAACAAAATAAGTACCAAAAAGTACAACAAAAACTTTCACATGTGAAAATAACAGATTATATTGAAATATGGATGCAGACATGGAAATATATACTGAAATATGGAATAGACTTGGACTATTACTCGGTTTTACTCACAAAGACCCATAAATTTCAAACAGATACTTATTTCTGAAATACTACAAGCTCTTTCTTGTTAAGTTGCTGTCATGCTGTCAACAACTAAGTCACTTTAGGTTCTGAATATCCTTGACACAATGTAGAGTAGGCATCAACTTATACAAAGTTCTTATCTCTCCCACTTTTCATGCAACTTATTTTGCCTGTGTCATGAGAACATACTTAGGCTCTACTTTCCCATTATAATCCAATGCTCTTAGATACAGTTGTGACATAAAACTACGTATCTCCTGGTTGTGGAATGTTGCTGATAAAGCAATATAAAAGCTTCACTTTTCACAAGAGTATTCTACAACTAATAATATGGTGTACAGAATAGTATCATATATTTGCTACCTCCTAAGTTAATACATAAATTTTTCAAAATGTCTGTTGTTGATTTTTTCAGTTCAGTTTGGATATAGAAAATTGTTCAAATAACATACCTAACATTATAATTTTCCTGTACTGAAAATGTATTTCCGATAGGTACTTAACTCTTCTCACATAAACAGCTATTCTCATTCAGTGCTGCTGCCTATATGCAAAATTTTTTTCTCATGCCGCAAGACTTGAGCTCCCATGTACCCCAAGATCAATGTGGTTCAACTGCATCTCACATGCAAATCATCATGCGACAACCCTCCACCAATAGGAGTGTGACACACCTTCCTGACGCATGTGACTCCTTCTATTCTATTCTACCGAACTATCACTTCGACGTTTGGCAGAAAATGGAAGCACCAGTTTTCAGTGGGGAAGAAGGGTGGGAAGTGTGAGGGGAGATACTTTTTCAGTATAGGAAAATTATTACTTCTGATATGGTAAATTATCTCCACTTACTTAAATAGATAGAATCCCACATTGAATAGGCGGAAGGGAAAGAAAGAAGCATCCTTTGAAAGCATCTTCCCCTAAAAAAGTAGATCCTTGCAGTAGAGGATCATACGTGGGAGACCACACCATTTCTGTATCAGGTATACTCTTTGCCCAGTGTGGAAAGAGGTGTTGCAGACATGGGTGGAAACTGGGAGGAGTACATACAAAATGGAGACAACAATGGTTGGATATGGATCCGACCCATACAATACTGGAATCTCAATCCCATAGAGTACATCAGTGTGGTGAGAGTAAAAGGATGTGCCAGATGGACCGTACACAGCAAGTCAACTGCATCCAAAACCTAGCTGCCGGGAACCAACATCCACAGGGGTGGGGGAACCAACATCCATGTGGGGGTAGAAAACAGGATCATACCAGCAGCAAGTCAACTACAATCCAAAACCCAGCCATCTGGTGTGGATTGGAAAGAGGATCATACTATCTTCACCTCAAATTCAGCAGACCAGAGGGAACCTCATACCCCTGATATATGAACGGGACACATGATAACAATGTAATAAATTGTATCACCAATCTGGGAACCTGATATGCAGACGATTGGTATGTAAAGATGTCTATGTAGTGTAAATTATCTCATTCAAAACCAATCCAACAAAAACCACCCCTTCACAATAATGTCCTCGGTATAAGAAAATCATCAGGGGATAATGTAAGAGAAAGAACCGTATTAATCTGCAAATTTCCCCACCATGACCCACAACACAGGTGGAGGGAACAAGAGTATAAATGAGTGATGAAACAGACACACCTATACTACATGTGTGAGGACTTAGGTTGATTGTTTCAGCTCTGAATCCAAAATCCAGTCACTGTGAACCAACACCCACGTGGGATTCCAATCAAAGGGGTGAATTCCAATTTCACTCTAAAGCTACAACATCCCATCAGATAAACCCATACAGAGATGGAGCATCATCTTTACCAGCAGAACACCACTGCCCTACTCTCAACTGAATGGTTTTATCATTATTTGTATTGTATATCATTATCACATTCAGAAGGATGCCTCCATGGTCCACCACACCTGCAGCTTGGAAGTGGAAAGTGGTAAAGACTCCCATACTCCACTGGAAGAAAAAGGGGGGTGGGGAATGCGGTGGAGAGTTCAGAGGAACTTCAACACCAGAGACAGTGCACCAGGAGACCAAGAAAATCCAATTAAGAAAAGCAGACTATTCCTGATTTATTCAATCTAAGGAATGGCGGGATGGGCAGCAATTCCCTTCTGCCTTACCCATGAAGTTCATGGGTTGGTACAGTCCAGAATGGGCATATGAATGAAGCAAGTATATCACGAGAAAAACTAATGAGCAATCATGCCCTTAAAGTGCAGATGTGACTAGTTTAAGTATACCTGGACATGTACCACTCACAACAGAGCAGGATCCTTAAAGGAAAAAAAAAATGACATGCCCCTAAAAAATAAGAAGTATATATACAATAAGGTATCTTACCCAGTCAGTCTCACTGAAGAGTGAAGGATGGTGACAAGTGGAAGACGGTACCCCAATGAGGAACAAACAGCTACCAAAAGCAGATAATGCGAGATAAACGTATGAGGTGTAGTCCCAGTACAATGAAGGTGAGATGCAGATAAAAGGGAAGGTACCTAATCAGAGTGAAGACACTAGGAATTGATTAGGGGGAAAAAGAGACAAGAACGAAAAGGCCAATCAAATCAAAAGCCGAATCCAAAGGGCAAGGGAGGAAGGAAAAATACACAAACAGAGGAGTGGTGCCAGAGAATCAAACAGCAGGAAAAGGAACCAATGGAATGAAGCCTTGAAGGCAATGAAGCAACCCAGAGCAGGTATGGGACATAGAAGGGCAATCGCATCCACCTGGGATTAAAGGTGGGATATAGAGGGAAACAAAGAAAAGGAAGAACATGCCCCATGAGCCGCCAAAGTGGAGGGAAGGATAAACTGATCCATAATGATAAGAACTGGTTGAGCTGAAACAGCTGAGAAAACCAGATCTGTGTCAGCCAGGAAGGAACAATCAGAAAGACCTGACACAGAGTGGCAAGTATGAATGAAATCTCTCAGGGAAGATGACAAATGGGAGGAGAAAATAAATGTATAAATAGGTGCAAATCCTGTCTGAACACACCAACAGCCAAGGCAAGTGGATGAGAAACTGGAGACAAAGGCATACAGATCTGAAACAAGCACGAAAGGGCAAGGCACCCCATGGTGAACAAACTTAAGACAGCACCACAGAGAATGAAAATAGGAATGTGGGCATAAAAACATGAAACATTGACAGTGAGCATCCTAAGTACTGAAAAAAAAAAAACACCACATAGTCTGATAAAAGACAATATAGGAAAAAGAAAAAGAACCAAGAAGTGAATGAGGTGGGACAGATCAATCACAGAACTCCAATTTGCATTGGGAATACATGACTAGTGGAGGAATGCTTAGATGTAGGTCATGTAAATGACAGGAAGGTGCCAGGCATGGAACATGAATAAAGAATGTAATAGCCATAGAAACAAATGAGCAACCAATAAAAAAAAAATCCAATGTAGCAATACAGATACCCAATGTTATGCTCAAGTCACAGGAGTAATATCCCTCGAAAAACAAAAGGCAGATGAAACAGGTGAAGGTGCTTTAATGATAGGTAAGTCAGCTACTTTTTAGCTACTGGTTTACAATATTTGAAAGTGTATGGGATGATATTTCCCATTCACTTTTCAATTCTTGTCCCAAATGGCCTTGTAACTAGTAGTGAAATAGATGCTGGAAGTGAATTTAATACAAGATTCTTTCTGGCTTTGACATCTGATCTGTTAGGCATGGGCAAAAGCCTTCTAAAAGGCCTTGTGGTTGATAAGAGTGATACATCTGTGGAAGATATTCCAGGATTAATCCAGAGTCCTACATGTTCTTTGAAAGTCAGATGTTAACTACGAGTGAGGATACTACAGAAAACATGTAGAGGTTCTAGGGATGGTAAGAACAGCTGCTTGAACAATGTGATCAGTTACTGCCTCCATGCAGTCATTAACAGATTATAAGTTAATGAGAGTAAAAGCAATCTGCTTCCACTGTGGTAAACGAGTCATGTGTCATTGACTGCAACCAATGTCCATCAGAATAATAGGAAAATTATCACTATCTCATGGATCATTGTCCACCTCTAAAGAAAATAGTAGTAGAAGAGAGGGTGAACAAATGGAGAGATTAATGGCAGTGAATGTCTGACTTGGGACATACAGGCTGTAATCTGAGAGCAAACAATAGCAGGATTGAGTTATCCCATCAATATTCATTCTACCATAGAGCGGATTGTGTTTTCCTAAGTTTTCCAACATCATGAAGGAACATGGCAATTGCTTGATAAGATAACCAAGGTCTGCTTGATAGATTTCTTTTCCTGGAGATAGGTAAAGAGAGCATACTGTGACAGTAGACCAGTGAAGACACAAATGGCAATTGCCTCCAGAAGTGTAGGGAGTAGCACATTCATGGAGGGAGCATGCTGCTCAATCAGCAGTGCTATTCTTCCATGAACTTGTTCATCACACAATTAATCCTTTCCTTATTATGAAAACTTCTGAATGGTGACACAATCGGCAGTTTTCAGAAATGTGTCCTGTTAAGAAATCCAAAATATGCAGCATTGATGCTACTAGTTATTCTTCAGTATAATTGAGCCAGACAAGCTGTTCAAAATACTAAATAATAAATATGAAGCCCAATCTATCATTCAATTTACCACCTGCCAGTGAGTTATACCAGTCTTAGAGTAACCCTGAACATGGGCAACTTCAAAGGATAAGACTAAGCTTAATAGAGTGGTGAAGGATATTGTTCTTTGCCTTTTATGATGAAACAGAGCTTGAATATTGACATCTACCTATACTCTATCCTAGGGTAAATGTTGATGGACAGTAGTCCTTTCAAGGAAATCATATCACAGTCTCTTGGGAACTACTAAGTTTTATGGTTTAGTTAGGCAATGAATGAAATTAATAATAAGAAAGACAATAATTCTTATTAGTAGCTTTAACTGAAACTTCTTCAAAATTAAAAGTTAGGTATAGCACAAAAGATCCTTTGTTTGACAAAAGGCCTAAGAAAGTAACACATCAGTGTAATGCGAAGGAGAAGAATAAGCTTTTAGTTTACCCAAATTGCTCAAGAGGAGTACTGCTCAAGAAGGATGCTGATTGCATAATAGACTAACACAGTTCATGTTCTTATGTGTGAAGATGAGATCTCTTAAAATGGCTTGATCATGTGAAAAAAGTTTCAGCAATAGCATCAAGGCACTAACTAGCTGTTTTGTGTAGAGGCGAGTAGCATAGTTTGAAGTAAATTGTACTAACTGCAAGATTCTTAAGAATTTGTAGAATTAAGTGTCCGCAGGATGGGGCAATAATTTAATTTAAAAAATTATTAGAAAATAATACTATTAAATATAAATGATGAAATTAGGCTAAAAAAATAAGCCATAATCAGCCAGAGAATCACATTCAAACTTCAAGGCAAATAGCCTGCACTCTGCAATGGCTTGCCCCTATATGGAATAAATTCTGCAGACATTCATGTATATATGTAAAACAAAAGTTTAATTTACTTACTATTTTCTATAAGTTAATTTGTGACTTCATAGTACGTGTATATGTAGTTGGGAATTTTGATTGCACTGCTTGTAAATCATACTGCAGAATTTATATTAGGATTCACATGCTCTTTCTACAATACGTGAAATTCAAAGATTATTTTAAGTTCCTGATAACTTTCATAAACCATATATTATGACAATATTCATAATTCCTTATATATACAGCACTTCTTGCCATATTCATACTTATTCTATTCCAGTATATTTTTTTAGGTTATGAAATTTTTTTCACAAACTGAACAACTCTCAAGGATTTCAAGGCCCTATGAAAATATATTACTTACTCTACCTTGAAAAACATTTCACATACTGCTTCTTCTATATAGTTTTTATCTGTAACCTTGGCTTATTCTAGGAAATCTATGCTGTATAAAAACTGAAAAGACATTGAATTACACAGAAGACTGCATAAAGCATATTGTTAAAAGAACTGACTCGCACTACAGGTACGTAACCCTGAAAGGTTGATAGTAGAGGTTTGAAGTTTTTTAAATGGCCTGATTCCAAAAATATCTTTCTTTTAATATATTTATATTTAATTTGTTGAAGGAATACATGCATTTCATAGCATGTACCTAACTGAACCAATGGCATATCTTAATTATCATTACATCTTACATCCTTAGCAAAAAATATATATATATATAATTACTGTTCTTTAACTTATAAACTTGAAATAATTTTCTTATGAAAAATAATTGTCAACAGCTTGTGCAAAGGAACAGTCCACATAAAATCAACATGACCATAAAATCTTATCAAGTATAAGGCTTCACCTACAGTTTAAAACTGTTTTTGAGATATACTTAATACCTCTAGTTTTAGCCTTCCATAATTTTGTGATGAATTTATAGAGAACTGTGAAGTCCTTTTATAGTTATCTTTATATATGAAAAAAAATTTAAGTGTAGAAATGTGATAGAACAATTGTTGTGTAAGAAATTATTGTTTTGCTTTATTTTCATCAAAAAGAAAAGTTTTGAAAGAATTTTAAATGGTTTAACTATGTTTTGATAAATAAAGCCTTTTTAACATTAAGATAAATAATACATTCCTCTTTTTATCAAACCTAACTAAAATGGTAACAAATATATGAAGATCTAGTGTAAAAATGCTATTGATAAATATTCAGACAATAAACTGCCTTAACTGGAGCCCACCTGTCTTTTCCAAATCTTAAATGTATGTTCTCTTGTCTTCAAAACACAACATAAAAAATTCAGAAACCTTTATCATCATATTGATCCCTCAGATAATATTGTAAACTGCATAAGATCACCATTTCTCAAGATAAAATAATTTAAAAGCTCTTACTTAACCTATCTCAGTATGACAACACTTCTGTCTCAGGAATCATCCTATTAGCCTGCCTATGAACCCTTTTCAACAAGTGAATATTCTTTGTTAGATTAGAACACCAAAATATCTCACAGTATTCCAAGCGAGGCATAATTAGCAATCTGTACAGAAGTAATTACCTCTTTTGATTTCCAACTGATATTTACACCCTAAAATTGTATTAGCTTTACTACTAGCAACAGTCACTGCTTTGATAGCTTAAGTGACCTATCCATCAAAATGCCAATTTCCTTTTCTTCAGTTGTTTCCCACCTATACCACTCAATAGCATGACTGAAGAAAAGGACTATATATGTAATGTGTGATTCAAATTATGATAACTTTGGACTTACTATAATTAAATGTCATTTCCCAAGTAGTTGTCCAACTTACCAATTGATCCAAGACATTCTATTATGACTTAACATCCTCAATACAGTTACTGAGTTCGAAAACCCATGAGTTTAATGTCATAATTATGTCCCTACGACATTTTAAGAACCCAAGTTGGGGTTGTAATCTTGTTTTAATACAAGATAAACATTTTGATATTATTCATACACATAGTTTTTGCAATTATACATCATATTACACACACACACATGCAATTAATATCTCATGAGATACATATACATCACATAAAAATAAACACATTTCATTACAACACTTTTTGTTTTAGTTATTGACTGGAAAATTTTTATTTCAAACATGAGATAGCAGAAAACTGAAAAAAAACTTTACAGCTACTCTGGAATCAACAATATATCTAATTTATTCCTATTTAAGACAAATATCCAAGAATCAACTTTAATATTATTACTATTACTAGTATTAGCTCAGTATGTAAGAAATGCATTCGGACTAATTCAATGGGGCTTGTGTCTTAATAGTATGCTAATTATCTGTTTTATTTTCTTGGCTGTTTGATATACTCACATATTTGATTTGCTGTTTTTCTCGGCGAAACGGCGATATTAATTTTTCAAACGCAACATACTCAAAGTCAAAAACAAAATTTTATTCCCGAAGGCAGAAATGGGGGTAATTTAACAGTTAATCGGGATTGTTTCTTTCTCTGTTAATGTTATTATTACTAGTAGTAAAGACTGAAAAAAGCGAACATTTTCCAGCTAACAATAAGGTTTAGATATCCCCATACTTAACTAAGTTACGTTCAATACGTAAATAAATATACGTTTCTCAATTCCTAGCTTTGGCTTTGAACTTACCGTAGCCATTTCGTCACTCTGATGAATTCTCAATCGTCAAACGCACATCAAGCACGCTTATATGATACCTGACACCATCATTCTCTAATTGAATGGCAAGATTTCAATGTCAGTACATCTTTATAACCAGGTAAAGCCTAAAGTAAAGGGGCATAAAACGCATGGTAAACTGCGAAAATAAAAGTAAAAACAACCAAGAAACTCCAGAAAACGTCGAAATATAACATTGATCAAAACATATGATGTAAAAATATTAAACGACAAACAGAACAATTTAATTTAATTTCTCATTGAAAAATGTTTTAATAGCACATTGAATACAAATTATAATAAAAAAGAAACTGAATCTTAATTGAGAAGAAATATATTTCCTTTGTTTTAATGTTACAACATTAAACTTATCTTTTATATATATATTGTTACGTCTGTGCTCGTTTGTTAATTTCCCGTATAATTTCTTCGGATGAAACTTTAGCGATACAAGTCTTTTCTTAAATAAAACAAGTTTATTCTTTCTCAATTCAACTTTGCAATACACTTAATTTTCACAGTCACGTTAACTTCAACACACGCTATAATTCAAAACGATTAACGCACTTTACTTGCAGTCACTACCGCGCTTGAGTCAATTGTCCGTCTCTGTCTGTCTGCAATTCTATTCTCTGATTAATTAATTTTGCTTTATCTGGCGCACTTATATACAATAATAGAGAGCGCGTAGAAAAGACCAGAGTTGCCACCAACAGACATGATCCTTCTAGAATATCATGAGGTGTTACTAGTTTTACGTGACTTCCGCTGTCGTAACACTGCCCCTTCCTCAGTATTGTTCGTCCCGAACAATAGCCACTTACTTAAACCAATAGATAATTAACAATAACTTAATTAAATGTACAGAATTTACAAACACAAAATTAAAATTCAACACAGTCTCTTAATTTTACAGGACGTATCTTTTTCCATACTGGTCTCTATCTCGTTGGCTTCTGCTTCACGTGAGGTTCACCTGCTCCATCGTGAATTGTCCTATCATCGGTAACAATCACACCAGTGGTAGTAACTTCATCAAGAGCTTCACTGTTTCCCTTCTCAAAACCGAGTACAGTTTCTTCTTCGACAGTGGCTTTTCCAGGTGACACATCTTCAGCGGCATCTTTTGTTCTGTTGTTCACTTCGTTCCAACTAAAATGTCTTGGACCGTGATAATGCCAAAGCCTGTTGGCATGCACCACTTTTGGCTTACCTCGCCGACCACATTTTATTCGGAAAGTCACGTCTGAGAGACGATCCACTACGTCATATGGGCCTTCCCATGGAGAAGACAACTTAGGAGACTTCTCTTTGGTCTTTCTGGGATTATACAAACACACCTTGTCTCCTGGTACAAAGCTGACTTGAGTAGATATATTATCATAACATAACTTTATCGAATCAGCAGATGTTTTCAAGTTTAAACACACTTGATGGTGAATGTTATCCATTCTTTCGATAACACTCTCACGAATTCTGACACATTTTCAGGCAACTCTTCATAAGGTGGGCTTCCTGTTAACAGATCCACTGGCAACCGAAGTTCCCGACCAAACATCAACTTTGCTGGAGCTTATCCAGTAGTTTCATGCTCTGATGTCCTATAGGCCATAAACAGTGGAGGGAGTAAGACATCCCAGTCATCTTGGCGACTATTACAAAACTTTGCCAATTCCTATCCAATTGTACTTTTCTACCATCCCATCAGACTGTGGGTGAAGTGGCGTTGTCCTGGTCTTTCATATGCCAAACAACTTGCAGCATTCATGGAACACAGCTGATTCAAAATTACGGCCTTGATCCGAATGCAGTTCGTATGGCATACCAAATCTGAAGAACAAATCAGTAATAGCCGAAGCTACAGTTGTAGCTTCCTGATTTGGTATTGCATATGCTTCAGGCCACTTGGTGAAATAATCCTTCACCACACAAATGTACTTGTTTCCAGCACGAGTTTGGGGAAAAGGACTAGTAACGTCAACGGCTTCTCTTTCCATTGGTGAGCCAACTCGATATAACTTCAATGGAGCACGTCCCTTATTCTTGGGTCCACTTTTAGCACAAAATGTACTGCATGTCCTGCACCATTCTTCCACATCTTGCCTCATACCTATCCAGTAAAATCTCTGTCGTAGGTGACTCAATTTTTTATTAGCATGGGATTGACGCAGCACAACTTCTCGTAACTTTCTTGGTATAACTGTTTGCCAAGTCGTCACTTTCCCATCTGCAGTTTCCCATCTCCGGACAAGAATACCATCTTCAAGCTTCAAGTGGTCCCATTGTGCCCAATAGTTCTTTGTCACAGGCCTTAGACTAGACACCTTCTCCCAAGCATGGCGCAAAACACTTGCTTTATAAAATCAATTATTGGCTTCAAATCTTCATCTTTCTCCTGCTCTGCTTTAATATCTATACCTGGTTCCACTTCCCCATCATCAACTCCTTCAGTCACTTTGACTTCAGCTTGATGACACCTGGTTAGTTCAACCTCTCTTTTCCAGCAATGTCTGTAATCATTTTTGCAGGGTCTTCGGCTCAGTCCATCAGCATTACTATGAGATTTTCCTTCTCTATATTCAATATTATAATTATATTGGTCTATTTTTCCGATCCAACGTGCCAGTTGTCCTTCTGGGTTCTTTGATGATCTTAACCAGCGTAATGCAGCATGGTCTGTCCTGATGGTAAACCTCGCCCCATAGAGGTAAGGATGGAAATATGTCAGACTCTTTACTATAGCAAAGAGTTCCCTCCGAGTTACACAATAGTTCCTCTCTGGTCTACTCAAAGCCCTACTGAAGTGAGCCACCACATGTTCGTTTTCATCCACTTTCTGAGACAACACTCCTCCAATTTCGACATTACTAGTATCACAATC